GAGGCGGCTGCGGGGCTGGCGCTGAGGCCCGGGAGCGGGTGTGGGTGGGGCAGCTCGCGGGGCCGGGACAGCAGGGGAAGGAGAGCCGTGGCCCCCGGGCAGGCGGCGCCCCTCATCTCCTGCGGGGCACGTCCTGGCTTGGGCTCGCTTCCCGGACCCAAGCCTACAGGGCCTTTCAGGGAGCTGACACCTGAGCTTGAGCCTCAAGCGCCGTCGGGATGCACACGGTCGTGCAGCGGGAAAGGCTTTAGCATCCCTCAGGCGTGCGGCAAATGGAGACGGAGGACCAAGGACGGCACAAGAGAGAGGTTAAAGGCAGCCTGAGCTGCCCCATTTTTTGGATGTCTCCTAGGCTGTTGGCCTGAGGGTGAGGCACATGAGGGGCGGGTAAGACAGGGAGGAGCTCGGGGATAGAAAGTCCAGGGAAAGGAGCAGCTGGTGAGGATGAAGGTGGCTGTGGAGGAGGAGCAGGCTGAGCACGGTTCTTACCGTGCAAGAGGCATGGAGAGCAGTGTGGGAACTGTGTCAGACCATTCAAAAGCTGGGCTTCCTTCAACAGTGTTAACTAGTCTCTTCTGTACAAAAAATCTTATTTCTAATTACAGAGGACACTTTTTTATTATTATTATTTGCAACAGGTGTCCGTCAGCTTGTCTTCAGTGGAGCAGCTCACTTGCATTGCTCCGCTCAAGGTAGAAGTAATAGTGGCCGCGCTCTAGAGAGCGATTAGATTAGTTGATGAGTGCACTACACTGAGCACCAGCTCCATCCCTTCTCATGTGAGCTTCACCCTGTACTCCTGAGGTGTAGTTTAAAGCTAGACGTGTGTGTGTACATGAGTTTGGGTAGTATAATGCTCAAGTAAAACTCTTGAGTTCACACTGCAGTGAAGATGAGTTCTTTGTGTGCACGTATGTGTTTGAGGTGGGATTTGAACAAAGACAGAGAACTGAAAGTTCACCCCTGTCTCCGTTTGACTAATAAGTCTTTCTGTACTGGGATATATGCAGTGAATACAGTGTATGCAGTGTTTAAAAGGAGAGACAGAGAAGTTTGATCCTACATGTCCTTCTTCTATGTTAGCAGACTGGGTTTGGCTCAGTAACTCTTATGTCAATATAAACCTATTGCACCAATGTGTATTGATGTTAGATTTAACTCAGTGATGTCTTTAGTTTCCTCTGCAAGTGAACACTGATGGTTTCTAGCCTGAATATTTGATTTCCATTAGCACTCAT